TGCTGAAAGCAGAAGGAATCAGATGTTGTTAGGGGGCAACAGCAACACAGGTTTATCCATAGGCAAGCCAAGGACATAAAACTAAATGTAGAATTCTGGCTTGTTAAAGAAGTAAGGTGGTCTGGCGAGGGCAGAGGTCACTTCCTCTGCATACTATCAAATGCCACTTAATAGCAATCTGTGTGTATATCTGGTACCTTTCAGCCCTTCTTCCCTGCCCTCTCCTCCACCTGTCCTTTTCTCAAGATCCATCTTAAAGCTTATCTATAGGAGGCCCTCCCGATTCCCTCTGTTCTTTTCTTCCAACACTCTGAAAATATGGTGCCCACATTGTCTATTTCTGGGTGGACTCCCTTTTCCCTTCCCTTCTTTCTCCTCACCTGTTAGCTTCTCAGCAACAGGATAGATTGATCACAGCCCTGATTGTTTCCCTACCATCTGACACACTGGAATTCACGAAATACTTTTGGCCTACATTGAATTGTATTTCTGCTCTTTGAAAAGGACAGTGTTTTTTAAACATGGACACCATGCCAACTTTCTCCAAAAGATAGGAGAGATATTGTTCATTTTATCTCCTTAAACTTAGTTGTTACTTAGACCTTGCTGTGGTTTGGAGATAGTTGGAGTGCCCCCAAAGGTTCATGTGCTGAAAACTTGGTATACAGTGTGGTGAGGTTGAGGTAGTAGAACTTTTAAAAAGTATTAAGTCATTGGGGTACTGCCCTAGAAAGGGGGTAGTTTGTGGGACTCCATTTTGTTCCCAAAGTGAATTATCACAAAAAGAGGTACTGACTCCCTCGAGCTTCCTGTCTTGCCATGTGACTGTGATTGTTCTCTCCCTCTTGCACATGCATCACCATGATGGTATCCGCCATGTTGTATTATGACCAGAAGGTACTTACCAGAGGCCAAACAGATGGGGCCACTCAGTCTTGAATCTAGCTTCCCAAACTGTGAACTCAGGAAGCCTCTAGTTACCTAGCCTCAGGCGTTTTGTTATAGAAGATAGACTAATGCAGATCCCCAACTTCTGGAGTCATACCAGAAGGTAGGGTAATTTTTAAGAATAAAGCACTTTGATGATTCCAATAAAGAGGTATAGTTGGCTTCAGATACTCTTGGCTGAAAGTCTCCTGCATGGGAAATGCAGCTTGTTTGGAGCAGCACTCAGATGCCAGTAGGCTGCACATGGAGGAGCACAGGAGGCGGGGAGGCAGTTCCTCCTGGCCAGCTGGGTCTTCTGAGTCAAGCATGGCTCAGCTGGAGGAGCTTGTTGTGCTAACTCCAGCACCTTTTCTTCCAGTAGGGAAGCCTGGGGAGAGATTGGAGAGGGCTAATGAATGGGCCCCATTTGATGAAAATGGTGATACCATCAGCCCTAGCTGGCTCACGTTTGAATCTGTAATGTCCTTTATGCCGTAGTTCTAGGTTCCATGGATATGCCTTACGTGGGTTCTGTGAAACAAGATGGATTGTTTCTTTTGTTATTTGGGGGCTATAAAAAATTATAAAAGTTAGCACTTTGTTCATAAATCTCTTCATTGTTCTTTCTGAATGAGAAATAGCTGCACTTTACTTCTTTTGTCCTGTTTTGATCCTGTGGAGCTCATGCACCGTATTTGTTAGTACATGGATAGCTCCTCTTCTCTGGGGAAAGATGAATAAAGTCCTTTGGACATTGCTGTCCCCCTACATGGTGTCTTCTTTTTGACATCATTTTTGTGATCAACTTCTTATCCTCAGTTCCTCGATTTTTTACAAAGTGAACCTGGTGATAATATTCACCATCTGTCTTTCTCCAAAGGACATTATAAAAATACTTTGTGTACATACAGTTAAAATGTTATGAGCTCAGTGGAAGGGAGAAGCTAATAGGCTCACAGGTGTTATTATTATTTAGTGTCATGCTGTTACCATATGATTCAGAATGGAATAATTTTGAAAATGATGACAATTTCACGTTTAGACATCTATTCCTATTCAACCACCACAATCAGCTGTGGTTTGAACCCTACAAGAAATCTCAAAAACAAACAAAGGAAAATGATAAGAAATGCTTTTTAGCATATTTTTCCTTTGATATTATTTTTTAATTCTAAAAATAAACAAGTCTTTTCAAAGAAGTTGATTTAAAAGTTCATTTTCTGGGAATGTTATGCATCTGCAATAAATAATATTGTAGCAGTTGGCTGCCTCCACTTCCAGGCAAAATAAATAAATACATTTGGTGATATACGTTTGAGGAATGGGATTTTTTTAGTTTTTATGGAAATAAGGAATGACTTTACAGATGATAGAGACTTTACCATCTGCTAGTAACAAAGAAACACACGTGGTGCTTACTGGGTTTAATGTGTATGTTGGCTTGCCAGGAATCGTAATTCTCTAAAACACAAGTCAGCCATCCCCCAGGGAAGCTGACCTGACTTCCAGTATGCCAGAAGAAAAGGGTTCTTTGCTTTTAAAACAAATGGCATGGTCTTCACATTGCTCAAAGGGCAGAGGAGTGAGGAGGGCTGTGCTTTCATGGCAAGAGATGAAGACAAAGTACTGTGTGAGCTTGTGAGCACCTGCACAAATTCCACTCATAATTAGTGGAATTGTGGACTTGCTATTGAGCAGCCATTGTCTTTATGAGTCAAAACATGTAGTGCTAGTGGAAAGGTGAAAGTATAGACACGAAAGGAGAGGTTGGGAGTAGGAAGTCGTGCCTTTCTTTTACAATGGCATTTTCTTGAAGCAGGTGACGTTTTAGGTCACCGGGCCTGAAATGACATAAGGGGGTTGTGGTTCTAGTTAAGGAGAAGTGGGTGGGTTACTTGGAAGGGCTCAGTGCTCAGCAGAGGCTACAGAGCTACCTACAAAGGAAGAGGGAGAGACACCAAGAAAAGGCATGAAGAAGCAGGGCCTTTATTTCTGTGTTTCCTTCACTCTCCTTTAATGAAGTGGAGATGACTGTCACTGGAGGTCATTTGGCTAGGTTTCATGGTGTGGAGGCATGGCATGGGGTTTGTGGTATCCTATAAAAACTGTGCTGGTACATTTCTGTTAATAGATTCCATATATGTGTCCTGAGGGTGTTTAGCCCTTCTCAGTATCAGAAGCCATGGCTGTAACCAGGCAGAACCTCACTGAAGAATTTTTATCTAGCCATGAGCTGCATCTCGGAGTGCTTTTAGGTATCTTCCAGCTCAACGCAGTTGGGAATGAGGCAGTTTAAAGAGAAGCAGTTTCTCTCTCACCTCCAGCTTTTCCAAATTATGGCACAACATGATCCTTATTCTCAGACCCTGTAAATGTGTTGTTTACTATCTACCGAATCGACTTCAGCGTTTATCCTACTGTCTTTATCTTAAACATCTAAGATCTAAGCCACATTGCACAATTTATTTTTATTGCTACACTCTGTCCCTGCCTCTTTTGTTGTACCTCCTGTTTGGGTCCTCTTTGGACCCTGGTGTCCTTGCCCTTTGACCTTTGGAAGAAATGCTTACAAATGAATACACACTTAGGTGCCAAACAAAGTCTGGTCAGGTTAAAAGTATTTTCTCTGCTTGTGGTGTTTATATTTCTTACAGGGGTGAAGACATCTTAACCCAGAGGAATGATTCTCTAGTTGTGGAATTTCAGTCATCAGCCAGCAGATGCAGGAGGTATTATTTTGGGCATGGGTGCCTTCTCAGAAGCCCAGCAATCATCCTAAGTGCCCACCTGCCTGCTTCATGTCACATAAGGCCACTCCATGCATTGCATCACATCAGTCTTGTGCGTTTGGTTGGCTTGACCTGTCTGAGGGTGGCCAGCACATTTGTGGTTGTCTTTATTGTGAAGTTCAGAACCATAGGCGCTTATTTAATAGCTGTTCATGCTACAGAGGAGGAGAGCTCTCACGTATGCAGTGCAAGCTTATCATTGTGTGTGTGTGTGTGAGTACAGATGCTAGCATTGGCCTAAAAATTAGAAGTTTATAATATAGTTAGAATTTTCCTGTTGGTCAAAGCCTTCCTTCATGTCTATGCATGAGTCATGTGTGCTCAGAGCTATGTCCACTTGAAATCCATGTAATGTTCACAAAAGCCAGGATTTCATAGGACAAATACCCACCAGCAGAGCAGGACAGTCATGCCCTTTTCTTTGAAATAGAAATCTGGTTCTATGAATGAAAGTGTCATTTCCATCTTGTGCCTCCTTTATGCTATTCACTGTCACCACAGCCATGCTAGAAAGTGGCTGTAAGATTGGAGCTGTTAGCATCTCAGTTAGTAGAAGATTCTAGAGGTTGCAACCTCCTTATATTAAGGATATGGGTTGGATTCCCAAACCTAATAACTTTGGGTAATGTACTAAGGATGAATTAAAATGCTAATAGTCTCCTTGTTCTGGATATTTTAACATTCCCTAATTTTAAATTTAAATTAAATGCCTTAGGGGCTGAAACAGCCTTGCCAGAAGCATGTTTAGCATCACCCAGTAGACAGCAAATTTAAAATATGTTCTAGCCACACGGGCAGAGCTAGGATAAGCAATACTTATTTTATGATTGTGTTTTTTCTGTCCCCTACAGCTACATGACACATTTACTGTTTTCTTTTACTATAGATAGCTATTTAGCTTTTAAAAATCATTATTTTCATAAAGTTCTTTTGAACTCACAGATCCTTTTACTGTTAACCATATTTTAATAGAAATACATTGGATTATGAGACCCCCAAAACTGTTGCAAATCTCTTTTATAGATTACCTTCCTGGGTAGACCTTACAACAACACCATCAGATATCCCTGCTTTATAATGAAGACACTGGTGTATAGAGAGGTTGAGTGGCTTTTCTGTCATCTCGTCTCTGGTTAGGGAGGGCTTCAATTAGTAGGTAGGTGTCCTGGCTTTTAGCTCAGCCATCTGCCCACTAGTCCAAGTGGGAACTCTAAGCAAAATGCTGGCTAGGTCATTTATATTAAATGCTTCTGCTAGAAAATGAGGACAGTGCTGATTTTGAGGGATGTGTGACTTTTATAATGTTATTCCTATTGTCTATACTGAGGCCAGAATTCTTTACTCAGAACCAAAAACAAAACAAACAAATAAGTGTGCTTCCCTTTGTCAGTAAGCAGACATACTACTAGTTGAATTAGTCCCTTTATTAGAGGGAAGGCACACTTGATTTGTCCCTTAGTTCTTCCAGTTGTCTGGTGTCTGTCCCCTTCATAATTGTATTTTGGAAGAATAGATATTAATTTTCTTCAACCAAAAGGCTGAGTTCTATGATGACATGACATAATTCAATTTCCGTTCTCTCTCCTTTGTCATGTGCTCCCTTTCCTCCTGGCACATTTTTCATAGTTAGGAGGAGTGAGAGTGTCAAATCTATCAGAAGGAGGAATTGATTCAGTAGTCATTTGACGACTTGACTGATTAGCAGAGATCAGAAGAAGGCTCATAACTGTGAAAACCACTGCAGCACAGAGTTTTAACAGCTCTTTAGGGAGCTAGTTAATGAAAGAATTGCTACAGAAACACAGCCATGCAAAAAAAAAAAAATCCCAAACAGGAGCATTCCTATATAACACTCAGAGGCTGTGTCATAGAGGAAGTATACTCATAATTTCTGTTTACACATTGCTGTAATTACTGTCGGCCTTAGGATCACTTCAGACTCTTCCGTGTCAGAGGTGCTTACATAGTTCCTCTTTCACATATTAGGCAAAAGAGCCTAGTTCTGGTTGGAACTTGTCCCAAGGATTTTTTCCCCTGAGGAATGTAATTATCACGCACGGTACTCACACGGCCTGATTAGACTGACTTTGATCTGATCCATGTTCATGTTGTCATCGCCATTTGTCCGTGAACCAGATGTCTGCACTCAGATGCATATTGCATTGGGCTTTACTCTTTAATGTTTTTTGGTTGTTCTCTTTTCTTTCTCTTTCTACAGTGTCTATGAGCCAGATAGGAATGCTTTACGGAGGAAAGAACGAGAGAGACGAAATCAGGAAACACAGCAGGATGGTGGCACGTTTAATTCCAGTTACTCTCTCTTCAGCGAGCCCTACAAGGTAGATGATTTTTTTTTCAGTTGTTCACCTTCACCCCATCACTGAGTCCCTTGGATGGCTATGTTCACCTGAGTAGTTGACCAACCAAACTATAGTTACTTCTCTGCCTGTCTAAGCCAGGGAAGACCGCTCTGCTACTAAGGGTGGCAATTACCCTGCTGCCCACAAAATCTTGGTATCTAGACCACATGTCTTTGTCAGCTACTCCTTCACTAAAATGTGCATTTTACTGAGATCTGCTTGCTGTGATTTTGTTTGATAAATAGACATCAACTCAGCATTGAGATTTCAAAGTCAATGCCATTTGTTAAAATATAACAAATGTATATTTGTTATAGTTTATATGTAATATTGTTATATTTTACATGTATGCTCTTTGGAAGTAATCACTATTAAAAGAGGTTGGGTTACATATTTCACATGCTTGCATCATGCAAGGATCAGGGTAACTGTTAGACTAATGAAAAAGAAATTTTAAATTAATTTTTCATTTTTATCAGAGACCAGATATATAACCCCTGTTCTAAAATGAAATATCTTCCCGGATTTCACTCATCTCTTGGGCTGCATGGAACTATGAATAGTTCACACGGGTAGATTCTTGCACCTTCAGCCATGTTTCTTTTTTTTGTGGTACCGGAGCCTGAACTCAGGGCCTACACCTTGAGCCCACTCTACCCTTTTTTGTAAAGGGTTTCTTTGAGATAGGGTCTTTTGAACTATTTGCCCGGGTTTGCTTCGAACTGCGATCCTCCTGATCTGTGTCTCCTGAGTAACTATGATTACAGGCATGAGCCATCAGTGCCGGGCCAGCCCATGTTCCTTTTTAACTTCACCATGATTTCCCTTGCCTGTCACTCAGGGTTTCTGACAAGAACAATTAGCTATTTAAGAATTGGAAGCAAACCAATTCTGAATTTTCAAGTAAAGTTTCCAGTAGGACTACCCAAAAAACCAAAAGAAAATCCAATCCTGAAAAGACCTAATTGAGACCATTTTGTGAAGCTGCTATAGTAAATGTTCTGATTTCTGGGTAATATGTATAATATATCTACAGCACAATACTGAGGAAAGCTTCCTTTTTTATGTGCACTAAGGCTCTTCTTACAGGGTTCCAGTTCTGGAGCAATGCTGAGTGCTGACAGACATCATCGGAGACTGTGAGGATTGTGATTTCAATTCTCAGCTCTCATTCTGAATGTGCTAACCTGGGCTCTGTGATCTGTCCATTATTTCCTGTGTTTCTGTTGTCTCTAACAATAGCATGGATGTGTTTTTCTTTCTCCAGACTAACAAGGGGGATGAACTCTCCAACCGGATCCAGAATACCTTAGGCAATTATGATGAAATGAAAGACTTTTTAACTGATAGATCCAATCAGAGTCATCTTGTTGGCGTCCCCAAACCAGGAGTTCCTCAGACTTCTGTGAACAAGATCGATGAACATTTTGTTACAGATTCAAGAGCCCAAAGCCAGCCCTCATCTGTCTGTAGCACTACATCTTCCACACCAGCAGCTGTCCCTGTGCAGCAGAATAAGAGAGGCACCATGGGCTGGCAGAAGGCTGGGCACCCACCATCTGATGGCCAACAGAGAACAGGTAATCAGGGTACAGGGTGCTTGCTTTGCACAGATCTACTAATCCAAAGAACCATAATAAAAGACCTATTACTGTGTGTCAAATCCTTCACCCTCATCCTCTTCTTCTTCCAACCCAGTACCACAGGGCTCTCTCAGGACCTTGCTTGGAGATGGTGTGGGCAGACAGCAGCCACGGACCAAGCAAGTGTGCAATGTGGAGGTGGGGCTTCAGACCCAGGAAAGGGCACCTGCGATGGCAGCTAAGCACAACAGTGGTGGACACTGTGTTCAGAACTTTCCTCCATCCCTGGCTTCAAAACCCAGCCTGGTCCAGCAGAAACCAACCGCCTATGTACGGCCAATGGATGGCCAAGATCAGGCTCCTGATGAGTCTCCCAAACTGAAGTCCTCTACAGAAACTGGTGTGCATTGCACATCCTACAGGGGGGGCCCAGCCGGCAAGCCAGAGTCAGCTAGAGCCAAGGCCAAGCTTTCCAAGTTCAGCATCCCCAAGCAAGCCGAGGTGAGTCCTTTCTCACAGCCATTCACCTGCAACTGAGAATTTATGTGACTGCTTGACTGTTGAAAATCAAATTGCTTTTTGTCAGTGATGTGACTGGCTTCATGTGATAAGACCCATAGCAATCATAAAGGAAGACATAGACTAGCCATGATTTCTTAAAATCTCAAAATTTCATAATAGGGTATTTAAAGTGTGAACAAATGCAGTTGTATGGATGTGTCTCTGTGTAGGTATTACTTAGGGAAGGAATTGCTTGTTCTTCTTGTGAACAAGATAGTGGTGACTGAGATATTATATACCCAAAAAAAAGCACTTCAAAGGCCATAATTTAGTGTTCAAAGGAGGTAAAATTTTTATGTAAAAGAGTTTAGAAACTCATTTAACATTTTAGAAATTTTTTCAGGACAAACATCATAAAGGAGACTTCATAATAATTTTTAGAGTACTTGTTTAAATGGTTCATTTACGGGATATGGTGAATTTTCAAATGTACCAGATACCCTATCCATATTATAATATTTAAGATTCAAATTTATTCACATAAATCAGAATTCTTATGTGACTCCTTGTCATATAAAATGATCCTAAGTTAATGAGAATATGTAGAGAGAGAAGTACTTTAGATCATATTCTTCTGGTTTGCATTTTTATTTTGTTCTAGAGTATTCTTCGTTGCATTACAAAATGTGTGGTGTGGATGTATTGAATACAAGGATTCTGAATAAGCACATTGCATAATGATGGGTGGCAGAAAAGGCAGTGGCTAGTCACTTGAAAAGTAAATCTGGATGGAAAATGAAGATAGTTTTAAAGAGCACATCTCAGATCATATTCCAAATTGATGATAGTTGTCAAGAGCACATGAAAAAGAAATGTGACTGCACATTTCTTTTTCTTGTTTTTCTGTGATATGGGATACAAGGGAAAATAGTGAGTTTTCAAACATTGTACTTAGAAACTGTTATTTGTTTTTGTTTTTCTTTCTGACACTCTTTAAAGGTGGAGAAACAATGTGAGCATAATATTCTTTGTATCTTTATTTGATTTAATAACCAAATGAAACAAATGATTTGACACTTCTTGTTGCATTTTTTGACAAGGCTGAGCTTATGCATTTGTGAGCTGTCACCTCAGAACTCCCCTGGGGACCATTTGGGAGATGACCATGTTGCCCTTAAAGATGACATCTCCAGTACTCTGAGATGATTACACAGGTTTTAATGAGGAAATCCAGTGACACATGTAATAGTTGTTTCTTTCGATTGCATATATATAGTGAATTCTAAAAAGTGCTTGTTATGAATTATTGGAAACAAAATATAATCTCTATAGACATTTGTTTTTAAAATTCTGTAGGAAACCAACATAGATTCAGCCTTATAACACTGAACTTGTCAGACTCTGATTTTCATCATTGCCATAAAATGACCTCTACTGGCAAATAAGACACAGCTTATCCTTGGACAGTGGTGACCAACCTAACTGATCAGGAATCCACTTATAATTTTCATCCCAATTGATTCTTTATTAAAATTATTTTTATCTACTTCAAATTTGTTAGGTAACTATTTTTGAACTCAGTGAGTTGATTAAGTTGGTGGAAAGAAAAGACTTTTTTTTTTTTTTTAGTGACATTGGGGATTGAATTTAGGGCTTTGTATCTGCCAAGCACTGTACCACTTGAGCCACACTCCCATTTCTTTTTGCTTGTATTTTGTTTCTGAGATAGACTCTTGCAACTTTTTGTGTGGGATGGCCTTGAACCATGATTATCCTACCCCCACTTTCTTAGTAGCTAGGAGTACAGGTACACACGACTACACATGGCTTGAAATGATGAATATATTTGATACCCAGTACAGCCTCATTGCAGATACCTGTATAGTTTTCATAAAGCATTTGAGTATATCATTAATAACCAAGACACTGTCAGGATGCCCTTTGAGGACCCAAGATTGGGAATGACATGTTATAACAGTAGTTGGTCTTCACAGAAAGAGAAAGATAGACAATCACACTGAGAGAAATCAGGGCTGTACACAGAAAGGATTTTATTTCCCTATATGTGATGGCATTGAACGCCTGCTGCTGTCCTCACTCCTCACATTCTGTCCTTTTACATTAAAGAGGCCAATTGTGCATTGATAGAAAAGAGGTGACAATAGGCATTGTTTGTAGGGTGAAGTTGGAGTGGGGACACTGTTCTTATTTTAGTAAAAAGCTTTGCATATTAAGAAAAATACTGTAATTTGAATCTTGAAACACTTCTCTATTTCATCAGTACACTGTCACAGTAAGAAAAGGACTCATTCAGCAATTAGTCGCTTTTCCTTCCCTTCAAACTCCAAAGTTTTCGTGGTCTTGTTTGATACTGAATTCCAGGAGAACATTAACAAGTACCTTTTTGCAGGTATATAATTCAATATTTTAAGTCATTCCTATAAAATCCACAATCATGACATAGAAGCTGAAGAATTTGTCAGATTTTACTTTTGAAAGAATGTGCACTTTTATTTTTTTTGGAAGGGCTAACCCATTTAATGTGGCAAACAATTTGAAAAGCGCTGGTGTATTTTTTAAATAAAGATACGTCATTAGTATGAGAATGTCCTCTCAATGGCCCTGACATTACTTTCTAGTGAGGTAGGTAATGTTTTCTGGGGACATTTACAGAGACAGTGATCTGGAGAGGACTTGTATTTCTTTTCCAAGATGTTAGCTATAGAACAAGACTTATCACCATGTGCAGAATTTAGATGCGGAAAGAGAATGTTAGGTAAAAATGACATAAAACAATGGGGGAGGTGTGCAAAAATAGCTGTTTAATATTCTGTAGTACATCCCTCACAAGGAAATCAGATCAATGACTGCAGTGTGATGTGAGAGATTACAAAAAAATCTGAGATGTGGTATCTACCTTCAGGACATCTATCTACATGAATTGAATAAATTAGATGCTAGCACTTAGCTTTTAATTTGCAATTTCTCTCACAGTACAGACTAAATTTAAAATTGGTCTTCTAGCTTTAGGAAAATTCCCTCACCTTCATCATCCCTGTAGTGGAAAAATTTTTCTATGTTATTTTTTTAAATGGATAATTTGTGGATCTCTTTTGCCTGATTTCATAGGGCAGAAACTCCTCATTCTTTCCCTTACAACATCTGCACTCTCTATCTGCTGCCATGGAGAATTATTTGTTATAATTCTTTAGTCTTCAATAATAGGTAATTAGTGTAGAAAAATCCAGTGCAATTTGATGTGGAAGTTAAAGGCCTCTAGAGAATTCCCTGATACACCTGCCTCTTGGCTGAGGTTTTACAGCTCGGTTTTGGGTTTAATGAAAAACATATTTCCGTTGTTATAGCTGAGTCTCTTGTTTCTGACACCGCCCTTCATTAAGCTAGCTTCCCCTGGAGTGCCACTTGGAAAGGTGTCTGCTGTTAGGCAAGAAGCAAGGAACTTAACAAATGGTTGAAGCATGCATGCATCCTAGAACGTTCTAGGACAGGGCATGGTAAATTTTATTTCCAGTTGAAGTGGATTATTTTTGATACACACAAACACACACATACACACTTTGCCTTTAACATATAATGCCAGATCTAGCAGGTCTAGACCTTGGGAACTGTTAATGTAGAGGGACAGATACAGGTTTGTGGGACTTGCCACTTTTACAAAACATAAAATATCCTAGGAGCCCTCCTAAGATATTGGAGGCACTGAAGCTTAACTGTGGTCCACTACAAAGTCTGTCTGTTTTTGGCTCATTGCATAAGAAATCCTTATCAAAATGATAATTTTGGATTTCAAAAGGTGCTTCATATTAGCCTTAAACTTCGTAGAATTAAAAAACATGAATTTATATACCAGGCAGTAAGGGCAAGGTAAAATGAGGACAGGACCAAGAAAAAACATATCCTGTAGAATCTTTAAACAAAGTATGGGTCTTATGGGCTGTGGGATTAGTTTGCTTGCAGTTTTAGCACAAGTATTCCAAAGCCTACACATTTTATTTTATATTAATTTGGTATTTAGCAATGATTTGAATGTGTTACTGCAGAGGGTCTGATGGCTATGAATAGAACACATTTGAAAAGCCAGGGGGCAAAGGAAACCCTGCTTTCCAGAGCTTAGTCAATAAGGAAAGACATTTGTATATCAATTAATAGATGATATGTTAGGAGTTTTAGTAGTGGTGGATAACTCATCCACAAGAGCAGAGTAACCATTTTTGGTTTATCAGAATTTTATTTGTTGAAATATAATTTAAAATAGCTTAAGATGTGTTGATTAATCATAGCATTTTCATAACCAGCTTTTAAAAAAAAATCACTGTTTATGCCACGAGTAAGAGTAGAAAGATGAAGCGCTGTAATTCCATAAAATAGCTTCCTAGAAAAGCAATTAACTGATTTTTTTTTTTGAGTTCACAGAAGATAAATGATGTAGGCTTTGTATTTCCTGTCACTCTTGGTTACCTTTGTATGATAATGGATTTCTTCCAAATTAAAGTGGGCACCAGCCTGTTGGCAGAAAGGCATCTGCAAAGCAATGTTACATTGTATATGCATGCCAGTCAGAATTTCTTAATTACATTTGAGATGTATAATGTTTTCAAATCAAAGTGTGTGCTCAGATTGCTCCTTGAAGAAATGAGGGTGTATGTAGAACCTGAGGGCCCAGTTTCCCTATCTGTGCTGGTCTCATCTTTCACACCATCCTGACCTCCACTCTTACCCTTGACAGAAGGAGGCTTGTCCTCCAGGACAGTGTGGCTTGGCAATTACTTGGCTCTGAGTGACCTCCTGTCCACACAGTGCACACCCTCCATCCTGTAGGTGAGGACATGGGGCCCTCATCCTACATAGACTCAGAGGGGCGACACTCAGATGTTGATCTCACATGCTGGATGAAAGCACTTGCTTTTCTGTAATTTAGCTGGTTCATTCTGAAGGTCATAATGGAGGCTGGCCTGTGGAAATGTTTCCATATTTTGTAGCCCTTTCATGTTCAGCCAGAGGGTTCTAAAAGGTAAGGCACTTAATAATGTAGAACAACTTTGGTTTCTGTAACCCTTGATTAAAAAATCTGAAGAAAGCATTTTGAGATGGGTCCCCTTGTGTGAAGGTGCTAGTGTCTTTTTCTGTTCCCTTCCTTTCTAGGGCTCCTTCAGATTTATTTTATAAAAGCCCACTTTTCTAGCCGTAAGGTGGGAAAGCACTTCCGATTGTGGAGGAATGGAAGACAGGTCCCGCAGGGGGGTTATTAGCAAACCCGCTTCATTTTCCCTCTCTCTTTCCTCAGTTCTTGCAAAGAAAGCTTCCTTCCTTAGAAAGCATCTGGATGGATTCCAGGACAGCTTTCTTTTAAACTGCAACCTTATGTGTGTGCTGACTCCAAATCTGGGTCCAATCAGGAGCCTGAGGCCTTTGTGTTTGGCATTACTGCAAAAAGAAAGGCATCACTATTTTGCCCAGCGAGCTATATTTCACCTTTTTTTGGTCAGCAATCGTGTGTGACCTTTCAAATACACAGGGAAGAGGTGGAACACTGTGGAATGACCACCAGCAAGAACGAGGTTCAAATCCTGGGTCCACCAACTGATAGCCATGAGACTGGGGAGTAAATAGTTGTACCCTTTGGGGACTCTGTTTCCTTGTGTGAGAAGTGAAGAAATTGACAGTATCTGTTTGGCAGAGTTATTGAGGGCGGGAGAGAGTATAAATGAGGTAAAATATGTGATGTGCTTAGCACAGTGATAATACAGTATATTTATAGTCAGTAAACATTAGCTTCTTTATTGCTACAAAATAAAAATAAAACAAAAATGGCTGTATTATTGGGAGTGGTTTTGTGTGTGCATGTGAGATAAATGAAATTCTGAAAGGTTTTTGTATTTATTTGTTAGAAATAACTTAAATCTTAAAGATTGAGGTTATCCTGGATTAATATAACAAAGCCCAAGTGACAAGATTCTCCTAGTTAATTAATACTTAGGCTACTCCTAAATCTGGGATCTGGGCTCACATTTTTCTTTTAATCTGTATTTTTTTTTTGCCTGTGCTATTTTTAGTCTATAGTGGAACATATCACGTGAGCTTTATTTCTAATCAAATGAAAAATAGAAAATCAACAAGATTTTGGTTTTGGAAAAGTGTTGAAACATTCAGGCAGTAAGTATTAAGAATGACTCAATTGAAACCGAGCTGTCTGAAGCCACAAGTATTAAATAGCATGATAATTGGACTGAGCGGTGGATTGCCTGTTGCCCCATGATTGACCTTCATTATTAATACCTTTATAGTAGATGAAAATAGAGTCCCTCTGGTGCTATTTGCAGATCCCCCCCTTCTGTAGCTGCTTATGTGACAAGCAGCATGGTGACAACCTCTGGACACTCTGCAGTTGTTTTGTTTGGAGTAAAGGTCAGGTTTAGTATGCCTTCCTAGCAATATTGTCTATGCCCCAACTTTTTCAATAATTGGCCCAGTTCTAGAGGAGGAGTATGGCTTATGGAGCTAGACTGACTTTGCTTTGATTCTCACTCCGTTTGCTAGAGCCAAGACCTTGTGACTCAGCTGCCTTATCTGTGACACAGAATCTAATAGAACCTATTGACAGCACTTTTTTTTTGGTATGACTGGGGTTTGAACTTGTGAGTTAATAGTTGCACAGTGCCTAAAACAGTGACTTGCACATAGTAAGTAAGATCTCAATAAAAATCTACAATAGCAACAATTAATGTAATAATTTAATTACATAGAGTGGCAATATTGGCTTCACATTTATCTTCTACAGCACCTAACCCCAAATGACTGGACAAACCAGAATCTGGAAATGGAGGTAAGTAGATGGATGTCACGAGGATGTAAGTTCCACAAAGGGAGGGATTTTTGTTTGGTTTGGTTTTGTCTGTTACTGAAGCATCTCCAACTGTAACTGGCACGTAGCCTGTGCTCACTACATACTAAGCTAGTTGATTAATATGAGGTATGAGTGGAAGAACTCACTCCCTTCCAGTCAGTAGCCTCCACATGCTGGGGCCTCAGTACTTCCCTCCAGACCTTTTATGGGAAGCAAGGAGCCAAACTCTTCTAACGTATTATTTATAGTTGCTGTTATAAAGAGAGATGGGAACCATATTTACCAATGTATGAAAACACAGCACATATAAAACAAATCTTAGAGCTATGTGCTGATCTCAGAAACAATGCTAAGAAGACAGTGGCTCTTAGAGGGATGTTATGTGTGGTACCACGTCCTGCTCCTTCCGTGAGTGGTTTCATGAACAGAAGCCCTGCTTGTGCCTCATGGTGAAGCTGGAATGAGAGGATGTGGGGATGAGGAGGGCAATGAGAGGTTCTGGGGGCAGTAGGGAAGAGGCCATACTTTCAAAATTTTTACCACATGAGTTTTAATGGATTTAAAATGGCCTAGAGTACTGAGATTTTAGAGACACTCCATGGAGACATAATGGGTAACTCTAAGATTTCCTTCAGCCTTTTTTCTCCATGTGTCATTCTGGGCTTTGTCAGTCCTTCTTGTCATGATTCCTATTTTGATTATTCATGGGGATGCAGTTTCATAAGTTAGGCAAACATAGTCCACATTTATCTAGAGCTCAGTTTATTGTCTCATAGTTCTATCCTTCAGAGATACTGCTGGTTACATGGCATTTGTGCCCACATAGACTTCAGCATGCTTTTGATCCATAGTAAATCACTGACCCCTTATCTGTGTGACAGAAGGATAAACAGTAGAAAATAGGAAAATGTACATATTATGCTGTTTGTCCATACAAGTCCTGACAACAAATATAGATCAGCCTTCCTCCTGCTTCCTCCCCACCCCCTTTCTTAGAGATCTTAAAAACCTGGAGAGCATCAGCAGTTTTCCAGTTGTCTCCCTGTCATAGCTCATCTAGTCTGCCCTCAAGCCATATAGATAAGGGAGGACTTACGACCTCTTGGGGCAACCTTCCCATCTCTGGATGGCTGTGATTGTTCTTGAAGTTGATCTGAAAATCAGCCTTTTTATAACATACTTCTATGATTCATTTGTGTCTTGGGATTTGATTATTGCTGACTATTTCACTTTTGTCCACTTTTGATTCTAACTCCTGATGCTAGAGTCTTCATTGTGTCTCTCTGGGTAGCAACTATACAGACTCATGCCACCCAATTCTAGGTAGATATTAAAGGGCATTTAAGCTTCAGTTTTCAGAGCAGTCTTCTCTGCTTCATCATAGCCTAGCTAAATTACTCTTACATTTTGATTTTTGACTCTTTACAATTTATGGTATTATGGAGCGAGGAAAAAGCAAGCAGGGGAAAAGAGAGTTGGTCATGCCCATGGGGTTGGAAGGTAGGGAGCCAGCTGAAATAGTAATAATTGTGTTTAAGATCATCTTGCTTTTCAGTGAGCAAGAAAGAAAATGAGGTAAGAACATGTGTGGGGGCCAGGAAGACATTGTGCCAGGTAGCTCAATAAAGCCTCATGTGTCAACATGCTTGAGGATAGCCATGAAGCAGCAAGCCAGAGTGCAGCACGGGAGGAGGAAAGAAATGGGAAAGAGAGCCATATCATTTAGGCCAAGCAAGCCACAGTAAGGACTTTACTTGATGGTGAACGACAGTAGAGAGCCATTGAAGAATTCAGCACATAGGAATGTCATGATCTGACTTAGGAATTGAAAGGATCGGTCTGGCTTTCAAATGAAGGAATAATTTTTTCTCATCCTCATTTCTCCAGTGCCTGAATACAGCAGACAATAGGTGCACAGTATTCATTTGTCAAAATCTGTTTTTGAGTTAAAATGCCACAGTTTATGAATTGTTTGAATTTCTGAAAGAATAGGTCTCTAAATTCATGGAAGTATTTTAAAACATTCTCAAAAATTATAACAAATAGAAAAAGGCTCCCTATTGTATTATTCTAATTTGATAATTGTCCCTGAAATCAATGATAACTACAAAGTATATGAATTTGATTGAAGTAAGTATAAATATAGGTTCTTTTTACTTAATATAAAAACATCTTTGGATAATAAGTGAATCCCTATCTAAATTCATGAGTTCTCTTATGACATTTGGGTTAAGCCTGAAATGGATTAATCTTTTTCTGATAAAGTTTCATAAGCTGTGATTTCTCTAGTGACCACATTTAATTAGATATTAAATAAAGTGCTTATCTTTATACCAACAGGTTTTATGACTGCATGTTTTTCCTGAGCTGCATTTCACAGATTAAGTAGCTAGCAAAGATATAAAAAATAAAATAAAATCAATTATTTAGTAAACCATAATACAATACCCTGACATTACAAATTAAGACATGCCTACTTTTTAAATGAAAAATAAATACTTAAGCTTCAGTTTAAAGAACCGAGATAGGGAAGATAAACTAAAAGTATACATTCTCATGAAAATAATCTTACTTTGTTTTCCAAGTTCTATTCTCACCCCTCCCGGAAATTATCTATGCTTCTTATAAGTATAAAAATTTTATATAATCTTGTAAAACTAAAACATTTTGTGATAGATTGTGAAGACTTTAATTAAAAACCTGAGCCTTTTTTTTCTTTCTTCTTTTTAAAATATCATACATCAAGTAAGATCCTATGACTTCAACATGACATTCTGATTCAGCAACCCTCCCCCCTCCCAAATTTTGGAATGGAGGGGGGATACTCTGTTGCAGACCTGGTAAATGTCAAAACAGCAAAGATTCATCTGCTGCTTTATCGAAAGGCATGCCAAGGAGATTGATCTAGAAACTCCAAGTGACCTTTTGTCCTGAACAAAGCAGGAGAGTGTTTGAGTTGCTTTCAGGACCTAAGATCCAAAATGGAAGGAAGATCTACAATTGTCAGATTGTCTACAGGCATAACATGGTGAAAGGTTTGATTTTTTTCGGTTCTGTTCAGTTTCGCAAGAGCAAGGCAAATTTTTAGAAGAGACTCTTGCCCTCCAGAAATTTCTTTAGTTTCCTCCTATTTGAAATCAAAGGGTTTTTACTTTTCTGTGTTAATACGTCTTCCTTGCTTAGGTAGGCTTGCCTAGGAAGGAGTGGGCAGGGGTCACCTCTGGGGGAGAAACCACAATGGCTCACCTGGTTGTGTCAAGGATGGACTCACTTGGGGTTCATTTGAGATCCTGTTTTACGTTACTGGTCTGTACCACAGATGATTATCTCTGGGGGCCTTTGCAGTTATAAATAACCTCAACCTGTCTGTCTCCTCTTCCCAACTCCTTCCTTTTTATTTCCTCTGTCTAAACTGAGGCTGACCATAACAACACGTACTTTGATATCTGAAACTTGGTATCTGGAATCATCTTAGGTTCCTCTTCTGTGTCCTTCTCATTTCCATTCTGTGTAGATTGCTCTTCTTAACACTCCCTCTTATTCTTCCAAATCTTAGTGCTCCCTTACTGTTTAAATATTTCACTGACTGACTAGCTTTTCTAACTTGTGAATGTCCGTCCAGTTAATTTCTCTCTAATAACTCCCTGAGCAATATCTGATTAACCATCCTGAAGATCCTGTTTCACTTCCTTATTCCCCTACTCAAAAACTGGCAAGGTCCCTGTTCTCTGAAGGATATAGAACAAATATTGCATGGACAAATATTAGTTATTTAAAGATAGTTTGATTTCATCATTAATTTAAATTTTTTGGGGGGGGTAAAAAAACCATGTAGCATAAAATTTACAATCTTAACTTTCTAAGTGAAGACTTCAATTATATTAAGTATAAAGTATTCACATTGTGCATCAAAATTTCATAATTCTTGAGGGCTCCCTGTCCTCCCCCTCCCCCAGAGACTTATAAATCCCATTACATTTAATACATGATTGTAAGTATTATGTACTAAAGTGTTTAAAAGCTTCATACTGATCACTTAAAAGCACTATATGCAATTAAGTGGTCAATTGCCACTGGGATCTCCCTTGATTTCAGTTCTCACTGTGCTGTTCCTGGACATCTCCACCATGAGTGAGAACTGTGCCTCACTCCTGTGGGTAATATTTATTGAGTGGATATGTGGAGTGAAAAGACTATCACTAAAACATTGTTTCTCTTGACCACCCTTGCAAGAATACAAGCTAATCTTACGATGTTACAGAGATACATAATTCAGTTACCTCAGGAAAAAAATAGCTCATATTGTTAATACTGTCATAGTGGGTAAAATTAAAGAGATCACATAAAACCAGCAAATGATTTTTTCTAATATCTGTTATTGACATTACCTTTCATTTAAATTATGTGATTTTTTTTAACTCTCAAATGCCTTAGCAATAAGCGAAATGAAAAGGAATATCATAGTTTGAACTAATTTTCAACCTCCTTTTTCAAAGGATTGAAACATATAGTTTTTATTAAAATTAACAAATGAATCTCTCTGACTTCTTTCTGGACCTGAGCCTATCAGTCTTTTTGCCTCTTTTCCTTCCTCCCTTCTTCTCCTCCTTCTTCTCTGTTTCTCTCTCTCCCTCATTAATTTCAAACAAGACTAGCTGCAATACTTTAGTCCATTCTCACAATCACTCTGGCCTTCAGGTGTATTTAATTGCATCTTTTTCTGTTCTACATTATTATTTTTTTTACATTATGTGCCAATGACCAATATTAAAAAGAAAATATAGACATTGTCAGGCTGTTCTGGATAATGTAGAAGAGAACCTAGGACAGTATCAAAGAATGCTGTCTGTCCATAAAGCTGACTAATTAGTTTTGTACTTTAGACATTAAAATATTGGCATTTTGTGCTCTTTTGCCTTGTGTTTTCACAGAAGAACTGGGCATTGTGTGATTCCATGCACAGTCTCTGTGATTGCAAT